GTAGTTGTCAATTTTTAGTGAGGGTAGTGGTGGCACAGTTTTTGAGAAGTGCAGAAACATCACCTTGCATTTGCGAGGGTAGGTAGGTCGGTAGTTCGGTAGGTAGGTAGGTAGTTCGGTAGGTAGGTGGGCAAGGCGTGGGGAGGGCGCTGTTGACGCCTGCATGACCCTCAAAAGGTTAAAGGTCATGGGGCATGGAGAAGTCATAAAGAAGTGAAATTTTGTTTTGGGTGTAACTATTGTTCTTTTGTTAGTATATTGATGACGAAATTGTTTACAAGGTAAGTGGGGATTAGAAAAGGATGAGAAGGAACCCTGTAAAAGGTAAAGCACACACAAAAAACATATTGTAAGTTACACTACAATGACTATGTACAACGCAAACTTGTCTATATTAGCAACCGCTAATATTACTATCTAGTGTGATTTTTTTCCCTCCCGCGAAATCCTAGTCTGACCCTTAACCTTAAAGTGGAATCGTCCAAACAGAGCTTTACAGCAAAACCTATTTAAATGTAGTTCAATCCTTCAAATGATATTTCATCAAAAATTTTGTACTTTATATTCAGAAAACAATGGACAGATTCATTCTTATTTGTATTAATAAATAAATCTGCATGATATGATAGCATTTTAAGTGACAAACCTTCAACCCCCTCGATGTAAGTGGACGATTCTGTACTGTAATCTCGCGAGAGTTGAGGACGCGAGAGGACAAAAATATCAAGATGGCGGCGACTGTTGGAATTCTTCGCCTTGCGAATCGCAGTAAGTTAGTTTTCTCCTTTAAAAACAAAGACTGAGACACAAAACTGTAGCAGAAGTGAGCTTAAAGCATCTAGGAACAAATATTAATTCCTAAAAATTGCAGACGATGTCGTATTTTTCTCTAGCAGCCATGTTTTCTTTGACATCGGTAAAAAATTATGTGACCTTCCATACATAACTCATGCACGCAGGTACTTAAATACATGTAATAACATTAAATAATAGAAAGTATCTTCCATCTTCCCTTAGAAAACAACAAAGTCAGTTAGAAAACCTGTCAGTCTCAAAGTAGATTGTATTGTATCCAGAAATGCACTTAATTGTTATGTCTGCTTCATAACTTTTGTAACGTTACCTTAAACTGTAAAATTATCTATATGTGAAAACTGCGTACAAGATCGTTTTAAGCAACACTTTACTGTTGGACGTGCACAGTTTAGGTGTAGCAGGTCATTCTGCATCATCAGAGCATCATATATCTGCATGCATACAGATACATCCTTTTGTGACCATTGTTTGTATGTTTCGTTGTGTTGCAGACCTGTTGCTGAGCCCACAGCTGGTCACGCGGCCCTTCGTGGCGTCCGGTCTCCTCCACCGTAACCGGCTGCAGCCGGCGCCAACCACTGAGTTTCACACCTCACCTCGCAGCCTCGGTTAGTTCTCAACTACCTAAAACCCAGCTGTACCATTGATTAATTGTGACAGACAGTTACCAAAGTGTCAGCTGAATAAATCCCTTGGTTGTGTAAAAAGAGTCTCTTGTTGATTCGATATCTGACATCTTGGATACAGGAGGTTTTTTTTTTACACAACCAAGATAGACTAACCTTGCTGACATTACTGTGTCTATGAGACACCTTACTCAGAGCTTCTGACTGGAGTTCTGCTTCTTGCCACAAAAGCGCCACCTACATTGGCGACATATAGCAGCAAGAAGCAGAACTTTAGTAAGAGCTCAGAGGAAGGTGTCTGATAGACATTGAAACGTCAGCAAGAATAGTCAATCTTCGTTATGTAAAAGAAAACTCCTGTATCCTATACTATACCAACCTGATGAACCTATTTTGGGTGTCTGACATCTTGTTTACTCCCCTGTTTGTTTGTTTGTTTGTTTGTTTCCCTGTAGCTGCCCTTGCGTCGTCCCACTGGAACGCTGAGCGCGTGCTGGTGGTGAGCATGCTGGGATTGTTCCCGTTGGCGTACTTCGTGCAGAATCCCGCTGTCGACTACGGGCTGGCGGCAGCCGTCGTGCTACACGGGCACTGGTACGCTCTTCTGTTTGTTTGTTTGTCATGCATAGTCAATTATACATAGGCATTGATACATTCTTTTCTTTTTTATTTGTTGTGCATAGCTAGCATTTCTTGATATTTTGGGTGGGCCGGCTACTCTCTCTTTGCAGCAAAGGGCTGAATTGTGAGTTGCCACGGTGACACATCTTGTCCAGGTCGTTAACCTTAGTTGTTTGGAGAAGAAGAAGAAACCGAGCAAAAGCAATATGTTCATCTTCAAAACTGTTGTTTATTTTTGCAGGGATTTTGAGCAGATTATGACTTACTACACCCATGGTCCACCTATAGCTGCCTTTCTACTATTGTCTAGAGAGAGCTATTAAACACCTATTAAAGATAATTTTGTTGTTAATTTTCCCAGGGGTTTTGAGCAGATCGTGACAGACTACATCCACGGCCCCCTGCTGCCCCGCCTGTCCAAGTTAGCGCTGTACGGGGCCTCCGTCCTGGCCTTCGCTGGGCTCTGCTACTTTAACTACAACGACGTGGGAATCACCAAGGCCGTGTCCATGATCTGGCATGACTTGTAGTGGGGTGGGGAGGGTGTGCATGTCTGTGTATATCAGTCTAACAGTAGCACATTGGCAGATTATACTGCACCTGTGCAAAACCCATAATGTATTGTGCATAGCACTTCGGCAGAATGTCTCATATAAGGTAGTAGTTGCATATATAAGGTTATCACTCCATCTGTGGTTTCCTAAAAAAGATCTTGTCGGCAACAGGCAAAGTTCTAATGCAACGGTGACCAAAAATTAAATGAAAATCGCGAAAAATTTGCGTTTTGGGCAGGCCAATCTGCCGATGTGCTTCTAACAGTGTATCAGAGTTCTGGGTTCAGATTAGGTTTAACACATGAAGCAGCCACTAGGCTTATTGTTTTGCTATAAAATGTCACACAGAAGATCTTTGTAAAGCGGATAGAGACATACAGCTGAATTATAATGAAGTGGTGTTTTGCTATGAAATGTGCTGCACCAGAAAAAAACATCTTACAGCTTCTGAAGTTGTTTCTTAGATGTAAGGATGAATGTTTCGATTATTTTTGCTGATAGAAGCATCCTAGAAATGTTGATGGTTGGACATCCAGATGGAACTTTATGTAATACAGGTACCTGTACAGGTCAGTTGAAACTTAAAAACCTGAAACTTATAATATGAAATTAAAAAGAAACGTGAAAAAGATGTTTTTTTGTGATGAGAAGATATTATGATTCAGTCATTGGCAGTATGTGAGAAATATTTGTGTGAAATATGTTCCTAAAATAAGCACTATAGAAAATAAAAGAGAGTGGCGCACAATTGGTGTGGTGTGTTGTTTTTTTTTATTTTGGATTTTTTTCACATGCAGTTGCAGACTTGTTTCTTAGAACAGGTATGTTTTTCGATGGACAGTTTGTGTAGTTGCATTATGAATATGAATTTTTCTACAGTGCTTAAGTGTATGCAATAGGGGAATAGGTTTTGTACAAACCTATACAGCTCATCTCTCTTTACTATAACAAAGGAAACCAGTCTTATCCCCAGGGTAATAACACTGCACCCCAGTCCGGATGTGTTTCCATGAAAGCAGCTGCTTCATGACCGAATATTCCCTCCCCTGGGGGAGATGGATCATGCAATATTGGGCCAGACCACCTGGGGTAAGGGGGGGGGGATGGATCATACAAAATTGGGCCAGACCACCTGCGGTAAGGGGAGGGGCAGGTAATTTGCCAGATGGGTTACTAGTAGCTTAATCTTCAAACGGATGTTGGGAGACCAAATCGTTAGGTTTTAAAAGCTGCTCTTTTCTAGGAAAACGTTATGATTTCACCTCCCTGCATCTGCATGGATATTTAGGTTAGGTTGCTAGAGCATGTCTGGGGTAGCCTGCCTGGTTACCAAACCTAT